AATTAAATAAATTAAATATGCGTAATTTTGTGATTTACTTGCTAAATTAATTAAATAAATTAATAAATTAATTAAAAATAATATAAAACAAAAAAAAAACAAAACATCTAATAATTCATATCAATCTAATTTCTCCCCCACTCGGATTCAAAAGTTAAATCTAATTTATCCCCTCTTCCTAATCGACATAATTCCTTTTGTCTACAAATCGATTTGCCTACATCATTTGCCTATATCACTATTACAGTTCATTTGCGTATAAAAATTATTGCCTACAGCTCAATTCTACAAACATTTTTGCGCACAAATATAAAGTTAAGGTTAAGTTAAGTAAGAAAATAATTTGTACTTTTAAAGTAAAGAATTTATGTTTTAAAGCAGAAAATTTGTGTTTTAAAACAGAATTTGTGTTTTTAAAGCAGAGAATAGTATATGTAAGCAATCGAGATGTACCCAGATATAAATAATTCATGCGAGCTTATATGTTCTTACATTTATTTCCGAAAGCACCAATCAAGGACTTTATCTAAGCCTACGTCTATGACGTAATCTTATAGGGAACACAACTAGTGGTCCCCCTCTGATTTAAATAAGTTTTTAGTATGTTGTTCTATGAATAAAAATAGAACATATGTATTTTTTAATATAGGCCGCACCTTAAAGGGAGACCTCCCTTGAAAATAATCGATCTCTTTTTTTCGAAGCGAATATCTTCGAAAAATTATAAAATATAAAAAAAATTTTCCAGAATGAAAATTGAATTTCTTCAAGAGTACTTTATAACTATAATAAATATTTTTTTTATTATTTATTTATTGTATACTCACATCCCCACACCAATTTTCAAAAATTTTTTAATTTTTATATGTCGAAAGTTGAAGAGCATTTTATGAAATAACGATGTGTATTAAAATCATGTTCTGAGAAATCATTTTTCAGATATGAACGAAATCGTTTCTATGGTATACATATATGCGCTCCGTATGTACTCGTCTCATACTGTGTCGGCTGCGTAAAATAGCGATGAAGACAAATACCATATTCGTCACAGTGCAGTATCAGCAATGACTATTGAAATAAATTTTTTAAATAATATTAATAATAATAATAATAATATATATAATAATAATAGTATATAATATACAACAATACTGATTCTGTTAAATTGCTAAAATTAATCAAATTTTGAAAATATATAAAAGAATATATGAAATACTTCAGACAATTAAAAATAAAGCATGAATAAAGAAATTATTACATTTATTAAATTTATTTATTTTATTTTCGTAGAGCAGCTAATTCCAGTGTTCAATGTTGACATGAATAATATTTTAATAAGAAATAATATAAGAAAAAAGGCTCAAATAATTTATAAAACTAAAAATAAGTATAGGACTATGAGCCAAACCAGGTCTTAATATTATGTTATTATAAAAACAAAAATTTATTATCACAACTCTGAATATTGTCTAAAAATATAATTTACAAAAGATTGTATAAATACAATTTTTATATATAATAACCAAGGAAATTCTAGAATAATATCACCAAGATCTCATGATGAAATTTTCGAAGATTGAGGTAGATAGGCGGAAATTAATTATCATTATTTGTGTATGAGAAAAGCATTAAGATATAGTATGGTAAGTTAATTGTATTACATAAATTTATTTTTATATTTACAGAATATAAATTAAGAAGTAATGTGCTATATTTTTTAAGTAAATGAGCTATATTTTATAGAAATTTAATATTGACTAACCTTTGTAGAAATTTAATATTGACTAATATTGAAAAATGAATAATTAATTGCTTTTACAGTAAGTATTAAAAGCACTGTTGTTCAGTACTTTTAGTACTCCAAATAAGCAATTAATTATTGTCTTTCAGTAATAAATTGGCTAATATTACTGCGAGGATATACAAATTTATATATATTTTTATATAAATTGTAACATTGTACAAAAAATTTGAAGAAATAAAAATGCTTCTTTATTAACATATATTATTACCTATAATTAATGATAATACATATATACTCTTTTACATATTTATAGAACTTCTATCTAAAGCATATGATCCTATACTATAATTACTTTTCCCTTCATTGCCTTCCTCACTGCTAACATACTGAATCTTCCCCTTCCTAACTTGGTCTCACTTCTCTATGTAGTCATAAATAAACATTTTAAAGCAACACGTCTATACAAATTTTTAACAAGAGCTATTCGCAACATTGAATTGACGTTATAATCCATCCGATTGCAATGGATATTTTTAGAAAGTATTTGTTGCTTATGACTAATTTGACTCATTCTTATAGTAATAATGTGCTTGATTTAATTTTTATAATAACATTTATATATTCATACTATATACTCATACTTACTATATATTCATAGATTCAATAAGAATTTCGACACTTCTATCTTTTATTGTACTGCACTTATTATTTTCACATTACTATACATAATACATCTATCTCTTATTTTAAGTTTCTAATGAAGAGTTTCTAATGAACATATGACTATTGCACTCAGCTAGCCTATTTTAATATTCTTAAGCTAATTGTTCTCTCTGTCAATTATGTATTCAACATCAAATGACATTAATGTGAAAAGAGGGAATACACAACATTGAATTGCATTTACCGGAACAACATTAACCTCTGTTACATGACTATTAATTACTATATTTATACGGCACGCTTTACTTGAAGTTATAACATCGATGTTATAACTTCGGCATAAAGCCGTGTAAACGTAGTAATTGATAATGATCTAATTGTTTGGTCGAAAAATCTGTTTTATTTTATTTTATTTGAAATATGATTATGTTTTAGCAACTATAATTCATTACATTTACATTGTTTTTATAGAACTTCTTTTCTTCTTTATAGTATAAGACAGAAATTAAAGAAAAATACAGAATTTTTTACTTTTTTTATTTGCTATCCTACGAAACAAATAATTTTAAATTTATTGTTAGTTTGATATTTTTATTAAAATAATTTGGTATTTGTATTAATATAAAATGTCAATAATCACAATATTTAATTTAATTTTGTATTTATTATAACGTATTTCGTATCTTTTAAAACGTGAAACAAATGCACACACACGCACACACACACACACACACCACACGCGCGCGCGCGTATCTAAAAAACGTCCCTTTTTCAGGAAGTCTATTTTCTGCGTAGCATTAATAGGACGCAACATCTTATTAATACATTATTCATGTCAATATTGAATTAACTGTTCTACGATGAAAATGAAATGAATAAAATTTTATAAAAATAATAATTTTTTTATTCATGTTTTGTTTTTAATTGTCTATAATATTTCATATATTCTTTTATATATCTCCAAAAATATTTAAATGATTTTAGCAATTTAACAAAGTCACTATTATTGTTGGTATTATTTATTATTATTATTATTATTATTATTATTAATGTTATTTAAAAAACTTATTTTAATAGTCATTGCACTGTAACAAATATTTACCTTTATCGCTATTTCGCGCAGTCATCGCGATATGAGAATACATATGAAACGCGTATAAGAGACGATTTCATTCATATCTGAAAAATGATTTTTCGGAACGTAATTTTAATACACATCGTTATTTTCAGCATAAAATGCTCTTTAATTTTCGACATATAAAAATTTAAAAAATTTTGAAAATAGGTAGGAGATATATAATAAATATATAATTAAAAAAAAATTTTTAATTATAGTTATAAAGTACTCTTGATGTCATTTAATTTTCATTCTGAAAAATTTTTTCTATCTCTTATAGATTCGAAGATATTCGCTTCGAAAGAAAGAGATCGATTTTTTCCATCCCTTTAAAGTGCGACTGAGCAGATATTAAAAAGTACATATCTCTTATTTTTGTCCATAGAACAACATACTAAAAGCTCTTTTAATCGGAGGATTCCCTTATTACCGTTGTATTCCCTTATTAGACGAAAGTGGTGGGAATGCGCAGTTGTTTGACGATACGAGCATACCCTTGTATTTATATCATGATATGGATATACATACGATGATAGGGGTACATACGAGCACAATGAATCGCATTATGCAGCAATCACGCCGAACGTATGCATTTTTTTTATATTCAATTGAGATTTTGATCAATTTCTTATGACTTATAGCTTTCAGTATACTTATAGTTTTCTATATTATTGAATAGGCTGTAATAGAGGTGTCCGAAGGACTTTTTTCCAGAGCGGGATTATACAAAATATAGTAATAGTAATAATAATAATAACGTCAAATGCTCCTTCTTATTCCCTTCCTCTCCCCTTACCTATGATGCAGACGTTTATAGCTACTAAGCTGCTATCGCCGCTATGCAGAGTCTAATAAATTTTGACAAATCGCTCGTGAGCAGGTAGAACGGAATAAATTGAATCGAAAAATCCTGTACTATTTTACAATTTTCGCACGCATGTGGACAATATGATACTCGTATAATTCGCGCATATATGCGAGCAATATGAGATTCATATAAGTGCAACGTTACTTGTGCGAGTCATGTGAGTCTCATACTGCTTACACGCGTGTGCATTTTGTTATCTGGGTAGGCAATAATACATATAAACATGATTTCGTTTCTGAAATTTTTATTTGTACGCAAAAATGCATGTAGGTAATCGATTTGTAGACAAATGAGATCCTCCCAACAAAATCTTCGCTATGCTTCTGTCTGTATAATACATTTTTTATATTTTCTAAGAATATCTTTTGCATATTTATGTAATATTACAATATAAATAATATTTCCTCTATATAATTTATTTTTGTATATATAACTTACAAAAATATTATCGCCATCGTCTTGCTCGTCATCGACTTCGTCATCTTCCTCATCGTCTCATCTTTCTTGTCTTCTGCATGCTGATCGAGTTTGCTGTTGTTATTATCATTTTCTTCTATATTATTTTATAAGTTATTTTTAGGATCTCTGTCAGACTAATTAAAGAGAAGACTAAATTAATAAAACATAATTAACTACTAATTTAGCTATAATATTTGGCTAATAATACTTTATATACAGAATTATCAAGATATATTGATTATATAGTATATAAATATACGATAATAAATTTTGATATATCTGTTGGACGTCTATTTGTCACAACTTCGGACATTGAATATGGGCTATCTTATATATATATATATCTTATGGACATATATAAATATTCAAATGATAGATTCAAAATCGAATTTACGACAATGTTCATTTCATACGTCCATGAACGTGTGGATGTAAAATAAACTATACAATGTCTTGTGTTAATTGAGTAATAGTATAATAAAATGTTTTTGGTAATATGCATAGTCAAAAGCGAAGAGAAGAGGGAGGGAGTACTTTTCTCGTTACATAATAGTAGATTTATATAATTAGATTTTATAATTGCTAATTGTTTACTGTTTTTATGACTGAGCGGAGTATTTTTGGTGTTTTTATTTCTTGGTTATTGTCATTTGACTATATATGTGTTAAACGGGTGAGAACGATTGAGCGGATACTCTATCGTTTAGGCCATAAGTTGTTTAAATTTGTACACTGAGGCTCAAACGGTGCCAAAATGTATATGAATATACTTGGCATTGCTTTAAGGAAAAACAAGCATTGTCATTCGCACTGATCATCGCACATTATCATTTCGCACTGATTATCATCATCACCGTGCTATAATTTTTATTAGTACTTATTTTAGTATTATATTAGGCGTAGTAAAAAGAAATTCATTATTTTTGCATGAAATTGAATGGAAAAATAATGGATTTCTTTTTACTACACTTAATATTACATATTATTGTAAATTAATAAATATGTGTGACTTAGTGAGTTTATTGGTTAGTAATTAATTAGTAATTAATTAAAAACAAAATAAAATAAAACAAATCTAACAGTACATACTATTCGACTAATTTCCCTTTTCCAGTGGGTTTAAAAGTCTCAAATCTAATTTAACCATCCTAGCTACGCTCATGTCTATAAAATATGTTTTCTGAATTCTTATTTCCATACATATAAGTTATTGCGAAAAATTAGTAAAGCGATGATTTAAAAGTTTAGAGCACATGCACAGAATGCAAGAGATCTACAATAGTTCGATCCCCAATCGAGGTTACATTTTCCGCAATAAAATTTTTTACAGATTTTAAAGTGACGCTTATTAGCATCAGAATATTAAGATTAATCTAAGATAAATATGAGCATTAATATAATTAAATTGCTTGCTAATACTATTACTTTAGATATGTTAGAATCTCAGAAAATCACTGAAAATAAATTCAACGCGCAGTTTGAAAGATCCGATATGAGTATATAAACTTACATAGAATTATTTCAGACTAAATATCTTATTTGATGTTTAAATACTTTATTTTACTGTTTAATTATTAATTTATTATTTATTAATTATAATTTATTTGTTATTCATAATCATATTATGGTGTTATAAGATACTTTATAATATTTTTTACATATTCTTGAAATATTTCTTATATATTTATACATGATACATATAATTTTCTCTATATAATTTATTTTTATATATTTAATTTAACTAAAAATCACGAATTCTGTTATTGCCCTGGTTGTTTTAGTTGTTGCCGTTGCCGCCGACATCGTCGTCATTGCCATCATCGTCATTGCCGTTATCCTCATTGCCATCGTTGTCATTGCCATCGTCATCGTTGTCGTTGCCGTCATCGTTGTCGTCATTGTCGTCATTGTAGTTATTAGTTTGATGTTGTAATCGTTTTCTTTCATATTATTCTGTAAACTATTTTTAGAATTTTTGCCAGGCTAATTAAAAAGAACTATCATAGAAAATTAAATTAATAAAAACTCATTAACTACTAATTTAGTTAATAATATTCAATACATAATAGTTACAGTACAATAATAGTTAATAATATTTTATACACAAAATTATTAAAGTTGGTAAATAAATAATAAATTTTAATATACTCGCCACGTCTGTTTGTCACAACTTTTCGGATACATTGAATGTATTCAAATGTACATCCCATGAACGTCCTATGAACGTCAAATAATGGATATTAAAAATCAGACTTATGATCATAAGCGCCAACTTGGAAAAAATATTGGGGCGGGGACGCAATAATATTCACTTTTTTGTGGTACTCCTGATAGAAATAAATCGCTGAAATAACTAATATCAAATTAATGGAGATTTTAACGATCTCAGCGATTTATTTCCATCAAGAATATCGCAAAAAATAGATAATGTTGTGCAGTTGACATCCATTTCTTCAGAGAAAGATCTTGTAATGCACAAGATACTTTACAGATTTCGTTACAAGGAAAAAATTCCTCATATCCTTTTTCAGGTTTTTTTCTGGTGTATGTGCAGGGACCGACACTAGGGATTCCTTCCCTAGTCTTCATGTTTAAATTCCTATCTGCTTCCCAGGTATCATGTCATCTTTGTTATTTACAAACGTTAAACAAGGATGACATGACATTTGACATTCGAGGAGCATCCTGATGGAATTAGAGCATCCTGATGGAATTAGACGCTTTAACAAGTAACTAATTGTAAGTACAACATAATAATCATCTCATCCTTGTTTAACATTGATGAATAATAAGAATGTAATGACACACTATATCATACCGTGTCATTACACCGTCTCTTATTAAAAGGGACCCACAAACGACGTGTCAGCGTCATCACTTTTAATTCGCCACGTCAACGTTATGTATGGCGTAGGATAACTCCGGCAAATAAGCCGTGCTGAGATTTACGCCGCAGAAATTAGAAAAAATAGAAGGAGTGGGGGTAATTTTCCCGCAATTATTCCGTTACATGCCTTTATGTTATAGTGTGTTATAATTTCAGCTTCTTACTGCTAATATTGTTAATGAAATTATTGTGAGTTGAATCGATTTGTCACTGTATTAAGTAATCATCATAAATTCTAAGTCATCATAAATTATAATCTACATAAAATGATTATTGTAGAGCATGTGACTTAGTTATTTTGTGATACATATGTGTAATAGAATAGTAATGTGGTATAGTAAAATATAAATATACTTTGCTTTTGTATTTTTTGTTTAGTTTGTTGTCTTGTATATCCCACCTGTTTGGGATATATGGTATTTTTAACAGGCGAGATTTATGCCCAAAACATACAAAGTGCGCTGATTGAATTCAGTACATTAAACGCATTATGAAATACCTCATAACACTTGTAATATGTAAGAAGATTGTAATTATTATTTATTATTTCATATACAAATTTACCATTCTTATTCCTTAATAAAACTTTACAAACACATTTTATAAGTTATTGATCTTATTTATATGTATTATTTATAATTTTTTTATGAACCATACGTATCCCTCTCCCTATGAGTCATATATTTGCATTCTTTGCAAAAAATAAACATTTTGAAATTCTCGTATTTTTACCGTATATCCCACTCCTATGAAAAAAAAACAAATTGAAGACATATTAATAGGACCATCGCCGCTTAAAGGACTTAATAATAGGGACAAAAACATATTTTTTATTTTTGTCAAAAAATAAAGTATTAACATTTTTTAGATTAAAGAAATATTATAAGAAAAAGAAATAGTTGAAAAACCGATATGAAAAACCGATTGATTGCAAGTAGATAAAATTAAAGCTACAATATTTAATAATTAATTCAGTAATAAGTAAATTACTGGCTAAAAGGCACATTAATAGGGACAGTTACCCTATTTCGGATTTCTAATATTTTTTTTATAGTAGTAGGCAATATAAAGTTTTTATTGATATAATTCGTTTACTTTAAACATAGTAAATGATACTTAATAAATTAAGTTTTGATAAGTGCGACGTAATTACCCTATGTCATGTGGCCGATACTTTCTCACAGTTTTGATTGCAGAAATTATTTGTAATTGTTAAAAAACCTTTTATTAGAAAACTAAAAGATAAAAATTATTGAGAGAGCATTGCCCCCTCCCCCTTCCCAATAAAATTATTCTCATTCTCATAAAAGGATAGAAGATATCCTCTCATTCTAGAAGAGATTCTCTCGCTCTGTCAAGACTCCTGATTATAGCCACAATTTAATCTATGTATATAAGATCTAGGTTTTTAGGGAGAGATCTAGGTTTGTTAAGGGAATGCTGGAGTAAAAATTGTCGGGCATTGCAGATCG